TCAGCCTAAGCCAAAGACACCCCCTCCTTCTCCTCCTCCACCTGCATTTTCACTTAAAGACTTACAAGAAGCTTTAAAAAAAGTGCTTTGGATATTAAAGAGGAGGTAGCTGATTTTTTGAATAATAAAATGACTTTGGGGAGGGCTGTAATGGCAGAATTATTGGAAGAAAAAAGCAAAGAAATGAGAGAGGACATAATGTTTGCATTTCAAGGACTCGCGATGCATATTGAGAGACTTGATGATAGATTGGATGAGGTGACGAAAAATGTAGCGAAATTGTTTGGGAGTATATATAACTGCTTCTAGTGGAAAATTATATAAGAATAATTATGAATTATTATGGATAAAAGTGTAAAAGATTTAAATGATTGGAAAAAATTACAACTGTCGTTGTTGGGGAGAATTTCAGCTGTAAAAATGAATGTTCTACCAAAGTTTCTTTTTTTGTTTCAAATGATACCCATTTTAAAAAAAGATGCTAATTTGGATGAGTGGCAGAAGGGTATCAATAAATTTATATGGGCTGGGAAGAAACCAAGGGTGAAGTTTAAGATTTTGCAAGATGCTCGAGAAAGAGGAGGGCTTAAGGCACCTAATTTGAAATTATATTATGATGCAGCCTCACTAACTTTGATAAGTGATTGGCTTAATCTAACGAACAAAAATATTCTTTCTCTTGAAGGGTGGGATTTATTATATGGTTGGCATGCATATTTAATTTTCAATAAGAAAGTAGATCACATAGTTTAAGAAATGCCTTACTTCGAGTTTGGAAGAAGTACTATTACAGGTTAAATTACAAAATACCTATTTGGGGGATTCCTGGACAGGCAATTGAGGGGATTTCTAAGGGGATGAATTTTGAAAAAAATTCCATATAAAGAATTACTTATTTGGTCAGGTACTGACTGGCAATTAAAATCTTTAGACGTATTAAGGCAATAAAATATTTTACAGTCATGGTTTCAGTATTTACAAATAGTGGATAGGTGGACTTTAGATAAGAAAGTAGGAATAACATTAGGAGATGAAAATTTGGTAATTCAGATTAAAGATCAGAATCAGGCTCACATAAAAAGAATTTATAATGCGTTAATAGAATTGGATTCGGAAACGGAATTGGTTAAAGATTGTATGGTTAAATGGGCTCAGAATATCCAGGAACCGATTTCATTGGATTTATGGGAGATAATTTGGATTAGAAATGTTAAATTTATACAGGCTCAAAATTTAAGGGAAAATTTTTACAAAATGTTTTATAGGTGGCATTTGGATCCTAAAAAGTTATCTTGTATGTATCCTAATTTACAGCCTAAATGTTGGAGATGCGGTAGTTCTGACGCAACTTATTTTCACGTTTGGTGGACTTGTAAAAATATTAAGGCTTTTTGAATTATGATTTGGTGGAACATTCAAAAGATTTTTAAAAGGAAGATAAAGTTTACTCCTCAACTATTTTTACTAGGGATTTTTGAGGATTTTGATGTTAAAGAAACTATTTTAATGTTGAATCTAGTAACAGCAGCAAGGCTATTGGTAGGTCAATATTGGAAGAAAGATTTGTTGCCTACTATAAAAGAATGAACACTTAAAGTTTCTAATTTAGCAGAAATGGCTAAAATTTCTGCTTATTTAAAGGATCATACACAAGAAAGATATATTATGGTATGGAGAAGATGGATAGATTATATTCAGATTAAATATGGAACTAAAAAGTTCCATTTATTTTATGATTAAATTTTAAATAAAAATTATTATTAATAGCATTTTAAAATGAAAATTATTTAGTTTATTTACTGTTATTATGGTTTTTTATAATAATTGTTTTAAAATGGATTTGTTTATAATATTGTGATACTAAGGTTTAAAGGGAGTTAAGGGTTAAGTATGAATTTAGTTATTGTATAATTTGTTTAATTAGATTTTGTTTAATATGTTTGTAATAACCCTGTACTCGGCTCTGGGAAGTGGGGGAGGGGTAGGGGGGTGGGTGGGTGGGTTTGTGGGTTTAAAATTTTTTTTGTTAATTGTCAATAAAACTTTTTCAATAATAAAAAAAACAAAACAAAATGGATGTTCCATACTTAGCCTTAAAGGGTAAAAAAACCCATCCCTAACACTTGTCTTCAAAGCTCCCAGCTTGACATACCAACAAGAAAATGTTGATGAATCTCAGAAATAAATTCTTTCTATGTTGAAATCAGTACAAGAAACAATTGCCTTAGCTCATGATGAGACTAAAAATAATGCGAAGGAGATAAAAGAACAATTTTCTAATCTAAACCTACAAATTCAGAAAATGACTACAAAGAAGGAACTAGTAACCCAGAAAATAGAAGGAAAATTAGAGGAAGCGGATCCAAAGATGGAGGACCTAAAGGAAGAAATCAACAGACAGACTCAAACAAACGAAGAATTAGAAGACATAGCAATAATACCAGAAATGGAAACGGTATCTTACTTGTCAAGATCTCAGAACACATTTGAGGATAAAGAAAAAGAACTGATCGAATGGAAGATAAAGCTGTTAGGAGAACTGTGGAAAATTGGAGAAGGAGGGAGGCTGTTTAATGAATATAAATGGGCTGAGTGTTCTTCCAAAAATACTTCAATCAAATTGTCTTTCTTATTCCAAACAATATACACAAAAATAGAGGAAGAACTACTTAATGATTCAAATGCATTGATTTGGAAAGTTAGTTGGCAAAGCTAGAGTAAGACTGAAGAAAATAGAGATTTTGATCCATTAGATGGGATATTATATTATTAAATAGATGTTTGAATCTGGCTAAGAGAATAGATAATTGTTAGAAATAAAAGTATTATTATAACTAGAAAGATAGAATCTGCAACTAGAATACAATATTTTGGTATGAGAAGGGAAATATGAAAATGCTAAGAGGGTCTAAGTAAAGAAAGCTTTTGGTTACTGAAATATAATTTATTATGAGAAAACTATAAGCGATAGAGACACTTTGAGCATTGATGGGAAATCAAAATGAAAAAAGCGGGTAAAACAAGATATTGACTGAACAAGGATTTTAAGTGCGAATGCATTTGAGATATGTTTTGGTTAGAAAAGATATTTAAAACTGACACTATTGATATTATGTATAATATTAGAAAAATGTGATAAAGATGTTGATATTCAATTGTATATATATTAACAGCACTAAGAATTGTATTTGCCTAGTGTGAAAAAATGTATACCACCAGAAGAAGAGAAGAAGCACTGGATGGTGTAGTATTGGATCTAGATTGAGGAAGTTAATATGTACCACTGAATTACAAATGGACCCAGGCAACACATTGTTTGTTAAGTACTTATGATTGCAAAACTAAAAAAATTAATAAAATATTTTTAAAAAAGAATTCCAGCTCCCATGGGGTTTTTATATATGTAGGCTGTCCTATATCTGATGTCTATATCTGACATGAATGTTTTTTTTAATGTGAACACCATGTGGAAGAGGGTTGTAAAAGAAACGATATAAGAAAGGCTCATTGGAAAAATGAGAAAAGAATACACATAAGCCTGATGACTGCATTTATACAGAGATGATAAACTTATTTCTTAGCCCCATAGTTATCTATAGTGGTTCCTCTAGAAACCTTCCAGCTATTGCCCTTGCAGGCTTTTCTTGAGATATTGCTAAAATTTCAAAAATATTTCTTAAATCCTGGAAAACTATTGCTATTCCTGCAAAAAAAGCCTTGGTAGCCACTGAGGTAGATAGAAATAGCTTTGCCATCTGCTCTTCATCTTTGTGGCCATAATGACATGATGAGACTAGAAAGTGCTTAGAATAGTTTATGGCAGCACAAGATGCTGAGTTGCTAGGAGACAGATGAAGGTGGATAGGTTTACCCAAAGCAGAATCCTTCAGGTATACCAGAAGAAGCTGCAGCATTCAGGATACTGCACCTTAAGCAGGAGTGCACAATACTGATGACAGAAGGGGGCAGTGCCTCATGGACAGGGGGATTCTGAGGGGAGAGATTTTTGCAGCAGGACATACCTCAGAAGGACAGCCAAGTAGATGCAGAGATCAGTGCTGAGTCTGGAAAGGAAGCCTTGGCAGGCAGTTCTGGAAATAGGTAAATGGTGGGCTGGTGGGGCTGCCGCAGCCTAAAAAGGCGACTTGTTTATATTCTGGCTTTTGCAGCCTTGCTGCAGTCTATTGCTCACCTTGGATTCCTACGTTCGCAGCTGAACTCGGGGTTGTTTTTTGTGAGTACAGTACCTGGATAGAGAATAAGAAGGGGGGGGGGGCCAGCAGCGGAGTTTGCTTTTCCAATGTAGAGACGTTGTTGCAAAGACAGAAGCGCGAGTGCAGACTCCGCTCTGCCCTTGGGAAGAATCCGCGTGCCGGAAAAGGACAGGGCTCAAGCTAGAGGGAGGTCGCTCCAGGGAATCTGGAGGAGAAGCATTAACAAATGTTACCTCCATCCACCCACCCTAATTCTTGCTCCAAATAGGAAAAGGAGATGGGGGTTGGGGTCCTCCGAGACAGAGGCGATCAAAACGCAGGAAAATTATTGCATATTGCAAAAGCAGCAACGACCTTGGGAAACGTCGTGCAGGAAACAGGAATGAGTGCGAGGCACGAAGGAAAGGGGTGGCGGGAAAGCGCGCGGGCGCGCGAGCCAGCAAGCGATCTGGAATTGACTAGAAAAAGTAAATACAGGAATTGGAGGAAATAGGGGTCGCAGTTTTCAAAATCGTTTAAATTGGACACCCAAACACCTCGAGGAGGACGAGTTTTCTAAGTGTAGATGAGAAGCAGGATTCTTTTGGAAGATCCTTCCTTTCTCATTTTTATATCTCACTTTTTGGATGGATAATCGCTCAAAGACCGAAATGTTGCTTTTAGGATGCATTTGTGGAGTGATGGGTAGTACTAGTAATAGCAGCAATCACCACCATAATAATAACTGCAGTAGGAACAACAAATGTGGATTTCAAAGAACTCTGAGTCTTACCATCCGTTTTGTAGCTCCGGATGTCAGAGCACAGCAGCGTCACAGATGGGGATGTGGACCCCCAGCATGGCTTATATATGCTGGTCCTGCTGGTCTTGGTCTTCTTTGTCATGGGTCTTGCGGGCTTTCTTATTTGCCATATCCTAAAGAAAAAGGGATACCGCTGTCGGACATTCAGTAATGAACTTGACTCTGACAACAAGGAATCACTGACACAACTCCAAGATGGTAAGTAACCGGAAGGTGGGGTGGGGGTGAGAGAAACTAAGTTTCTTGGCAGCATCTTGCAACTCAGTTGTGATGAGGAGTTCAGTCAAACCAGAAACTGCTCCTTAATTCTGAAGTCGCAGGCATGGTGCTTTAAAATAGTACATTCTATTGGGCAAGTAAGATTTAGGATGATATGCAAGAAGGAATCAAGTTTATACTGTATATAGGTGGGTTAGTGGAGGGCTCAGGGATTTTAGATCAGCCTCTTTCAAGTTTGGCATTTCCCACCTATTTTCTACATTTGACTAGCATCTCTGTGAGTAGTATTGTTATTTCTAAAATGTAGAAACATAGTTTCTAGTCTAACATTTGTTGGGTTGTAGCTACTACCACTTTTGATAATTTGAGGTAAATCGACACAGAACCAAAGTACTTACATCAATAGAATGTGTATAGTTCTCTTTTATATTCTCCTGATTTTGCAGCTCACTTAGCTTTATTGTGAAATTATACTGACAAAACACATGCCTGAGAAATCTCTCCAACTAGATAGGTTTCAGAACCAGACTGTAGGAAGGGTGGGACTGGAGCAGTGAATATAGGCAATCCAGTCTTAACCCAGAGGCCCTCCAGGTTCTAAGCTGTTTCCATTAATGGAGATGATTCAAGTTGACATGAGCTGCCAAAGGAGTTGTGGTATCAGCATAGGCAGTAATAACTGAAGAAGCCAAAACAGAGAGGCCTGTTAGGATGCAATTAATACTTTTAATGGAATTTTTTTAATGATACTAACAATTGTCCAGGTTTAGAGGTAAAAACAGTTTCTCCAAAATTCTGAGTATTGTTTGTGCTACTTTCATTTTTCATCCTCTTCTTTTGAAGAAAATGGTTCCATTTGTCTTGAAATTGTCTGATAGTAAGGAGATTTTAAAATGTGACTTTATTAACTTAGATTTCAGTGTTCATATTATGCATGATAGGAAACTGCATTCCAATTTTTCTAAATAACCTATACTTTTATAAACATGTGGTACATGTTGTAAGAGGCATACTTTTTTTGTTTCATGGGCACATTGTTTCTAAGAATAACTCACCAGAGGAATAAGCTGGCTATAAAACAGGAATTACCATAATACTGATAACAGGGTTTTTCTTACTATCTTTCATGTACAAGCTAACATTTAAAAACATTCATTTCTTTATTTAATGATATCAGGTACTAAAATAAGATGATTAAGTTGCTTTATACTACTGTGAAATGAAAGAAATGGAATAGGAAATCAGCATCACAGAAAGAATGGAAGAAATAACAGGAGATAAGAAGTGGAAATGCTGGCTAAAAGTATTTAGGCATTTACCTTTTGCTGTTGTAAAGTCTCCCAGGAGATTCTTAAACAGAAGAAGGCAAAATGTGGGCTGGAATATTCTACTATTAGAACAGTGGTTCTCAACCTTTTTAATGCCGCGACCCCCAACCGGTCGTAAGTCGAGGACTACTCAACTGGTCGTAAGTCAAGGACTACTTAACTGGTGCAGCACTGTTTGCAGAATGGGACTTTTGGCGGGCTCAGCAGGGCAGAGACAACCTGGACAATTCCTATTGGCTTTTGAAAGCCAATAGAATTAGAATCTATTCAAGAGAGTCTATTCTATTGGCTTTCAAAAGCCAATAGAATAAAAGGGAGTAGCACAGCTAAGGAAAAGGGGAAAAAATGGCGGACTGCGTTGTTTGGCGACCCCCGTGAAATGGTCGTTCCACCCCAAATGGGGTCCTGACCCATAGGTTGAGAACCACTGTATTAGATAGATACAGAGCTGGTTAACAATCATATCCAATAAGTGCATGACAATGGCACCCATAATATACTACAGATTCCATTTTACATTACTGCTCTGGGTATCTTGGCAGATCACAAGCTGAACATGCAGTTGAGGGAGGGAGGGAGGGAGGGAGGGAGGAAGGAAGGAAGGAAGGAAGGAAGGAAGGAAGGAAGGAAGGAAGGACATCCTAAATTGGATCAAGGGAAAGTGTCAGTATTAAGAAATTTCATTATTCCTGACCTTTCTTCATTTGTTTTAAGAAAGGGAACATGGAATAAAAAATTATGAGAAATGTTTGGAGGCACTGGGCGTGCTGAAGAAGAGAAGATGGTATTGAGATGCCAAAGTTATTTTCAAGTATTTGAAAGTGGCTATGTACAGGACGGGGCAGAATTGTTCCAAGTTGTCCCAGAAGACAGGAGAAGAACAGTGAATTTAAAATGGCAAGGAACTATACATCAAGAAAAAAATCTGTTTTAAAACTAGTAAAATCAGTTTTAAAATTGAATGGCTCACCTTAGATCAGTGTTTCTCAACCTTGACAATGTTAAGGCATGTGGACTTCAACTCCCAGAATTCCACAGCCAGCATTGCTGGCTGTGGAATTCTGGGAGTTGAAGTCCACATGCCTTAACATTGTCAAGGTTGAGAAACGCTGCCTTAGATGCTGGTTGGATACTCTTTCACTGAATGCATCTAAACTAAACTGGATGAATAGATGTGATTTATGTATTGCTGTAGATGAGCTGTAAGTATCATATTATAATAAAATATTATATACAGTAATTGTTATGTTATAATAACAATGTATGATTAAATGTAGAAGAATATGGCTCAGCATTATATCATTCAATGGACAGTGTAGAAGAACCAATTTTCAGGGGAACTGAAAAGGTATAGCTGCCAACCTATTGCATAGTCATCTTGCTTTCATGCTTTGTATGCTTTTTCGAAATAAACTGTATTCATCGGCATGGAAATTAAACATTACTATTGAGCTTTTTCCCTGCCAGAGGTTTTGGTGTCCTTCATTAAATAGTTCCTTTGGTAAGTCAGCCCTTACAACTGACTCCTTTTTTTCTCAATGAAAATTAACATTCATTCATTATTCATTCAATGTTTTATTGCAAATAATCAACCAATTGTTCTCATGTAATGATCAATTGTTCTATCAGGAAAATAATAATAAGCACCTGTAATTCAGAAGATTAATGAAAGTATTACCTAGAATTTCAAAACTGTGCACAATGGAAATAACAGAAGGGTAGTGTTGGAGGAGGAGGAGGAGGAGGGGCCATATTGAAAGAAAAGGACAAAATCAAAATAATTTAAGGGTTGTAGCAGGGGCAGTACTTTGGATTTTTCATGATTCTTAGAAGGTTACAGAGAGTTACAACTACTCTTTTTCACTTCTGTATTTCTTTTTCTTTCAGATGAGGATGAGGATCTGAATGAAGATACTGTAGAAAAAATAGTGAAATGTATAATTCAAAATGAAGGTGGGCATAATTTTGGCTTAATTAAGTAAACGCTTATCACCTGGGATCTTGTTTTGACCCATTTCTACTTTCTTCTCTTTTTAGCAAATGTTGAAGTTCTAAAAGAAATGCTGGGAGAAAGTGATGCTGATTTCCCAGTGCCAGTGCCTGTGCCCAGGTGAGGAGAGCATATAGGTTCAACTTAGTATCAATCACATTTTGAGAATCTCTCAATGTTTCCTTTTTCCTTCCCTCAGTCATGCTCAGTATTAAATCACATGATATAGTAGTGAGTGTATATAGGTATGGATGTGTGAGAGAGACATAACATACTGTTTTATTCTTCTTCTCCAACCTAACATAAGTGTAATGGAGATTACTGGACATAGGAGAAGTTTAAAAGCTCTCCTCAGCCATCTGTCTTGCAAACCCCTCACAATACCACTAGTGCTAATTAAGGATTTTTTTCTTGATTGTTTCAAATCCCAGAGGCATGAGCAAAATGTGACTAGGGAGGAAATATTGAGAGGTCTCCCCCAAAATGACATCCTACAGGGTCTACTAGGATAAAGAAGAGTGGTAAGAACAGCTACATATTGAATGCATATGGGTAGTTTTCACTCTATTTGAATGACTAGGCTAGATGTCTGTCATTCAGAGGGGACTAAACATATTGCAGACCATCTTTTTGCAGGAGGATAAAAAGCCAGAACAGAAAGTCAGGCTCAGATGGCCCTAGTTAATTGGTTTCCTTAGCATTTTTGTCTTGATGCAGGATATTTTTGTTGCCTGAAGCTTTCCTCTCCAACTGTATAGCAGTTGTGTAATGTTCTTGTACAGCTCCTACTTATTTCATTTGGGCCTTGGTAGATATACTTCCTAGACTAGAGAATGGAGTTTCATGGATTATATCTTATTATCCATGAGTTTGAAAATAGTCTGAGTGGAAATCTGATTTTGTCTTTTAGTGCAGGTTTTTCTGGGTAGGCTCTGTGTTATATATGCTGATGGGGTTTGCTTTAGAATTCCATTTATATAACTGCTGATCTTTATATCTAATGGCCCAAAACATATGAAGAACTGGGTTTGGCTAGTCTAAAGAAAAGAAGAAATAGGGGTGATATGATAATAGTATTCCAGTATTTGAGGGGCTGCCACAAAGAAGAGGAGGTCAAACTATTCTCCAAAGCACCAGAGGGAAGGATTTATTTATTTATTTATTTCTAAAATTTATATGCCGCCCAATCCCAAGGGACTCAGGGCGGCGTACAAAATTAAAACAATAATATGACAATAAAACAATAAAATAAATACATTCATACAGCGTGTCCGATCATACCCCCCCCCCCGGGGACATCAGCCCCAGGCCTGCCGGAACAGGAGAGTTTTAATGGCTTTCTTAAAGGCCGGCAGGGTGGGAGTAGTTCGAACCTCGGGGGGAAGTTGATTCCACCAGGTCGGAGCCACCACAGAAAAGGCCCTTCCCCGAGGGCCCGCCAGCCGACATTGTCTGGCCGACGGGACCTGAAGGAGGCCCAATCTATGGGACCTCACCGGTCTCTGGAAACTGTGTGGCAGTATGCAGTCCTGTAAGTAACCTGGCCCTATGCCATAAACGGCTTTAAAGGTGATAATCAACACCTTGAATTGCGTCCGGAGACCCACAGGAAGGCAGTGCAGCTCGTGGAGGATAGGTGACATGTGGGCGTACCTTGGCGCACCCACAATTGCTCTCGGGGCTGCATTCTGAACCAACTGCAGCCTCCGAACGCTCTTCAAGGGTAGCCCCATGTAGAGCGTGTTACAGTAATCCAGTCTTGAGGTGACAAGGGCATGAGTGACCGTGAGTAAAGCCTCCCGGTCCAAATAAGGCCGCAACTGGTGTACCAGGCGAACCTGGGCAAAGGTCCCCCTGGCCACAGCCGATAGATGTTGTTCCAAATTTAGCTGTGAGTCCAGGAGGACACCCAAGTTGCGTGCCTGCACTGAGGGAGGTAAATTTGCCCCCCCCCAGGACTAATGATGGACCATCCAGTTGACCTTTGGGAGGCAAGACCCAGAGCCACTCGGTCTTGTCAGGGTTGAGTCTAAGCCTGTTCACCCCCATCCAGACCCTCACATCTTCCAGGCACCGGCACATCATGTCGACTGCTTCACTGAAAGGACACGGGGTGGAGATATACAATTGGGTATCATCCGCGTACTGATGATACCTCACCCCGTGTCGCCGAATGATCTCACCCAGCAGTTTCATGTAGATGTTAAAAAGGAGGGGGGACAGGACCGAGCCCTGGGGCACCCCATGATCGAGGCGCCTAGGGGTCGATCTCTGTCCGCCCGCCAACACCAACTGCGACCTGTCAGAGAGGTAGGAGGAGAACCACCGCAATACGGTGCCGCCCATCCCCCCTCTCCGAGACGACGCAGAAGATACCATGGTCGATGGTATTGAAAGCCGCTGAGAGGTCAAGAAGCACCAAGATAGAGGAATGACCCCTATCCCGGGCTCTCCAGAGGTCATCGGTCAGTGCGACCAAAGCAGTCTCAGTGCTGTAGCCGGGCCTGAAACCAGATTGAAAAGGGTCCAGATAATAGGATGAGAAACAATGGTTGGAAACTGATCGAAGAGACAAGCAACCTGGAATTAAGGAGAAACTTTCTAAAGTGTGGACAATTAACCAGTGAAACAGTTTGCCTCCAGAAATTGTGGGCACTCCATCACTGGAGATTTTAAGAAGAGACTGGACAGTCACTTATCTGAAATGGTATAGGACGGTTCTCCTGCTTGAGCATGGGGCTGGACTAGAAGACCTTCAAGGTCCCTTCCAGATTCTATTCTATTCTATTCTATTCTATTCTATTCTATTCTATTCTATTCTATTCTATTCTATTCTATTCTATTCCATTCCATTCCATTCCATTCTATTCTAGACTGATGGTCTTTGTTTTTCCTTTTCTCCAGTGCTCTATGTCCACATCGTAGCAGCCAAGATGGTGGCATTCCTCATCACCACACAGTGCACTTAGGCTCAACACAAGCACCTTGCATTCATTGCAGCAAGAAAAAGAGACCTCCCTTACATCATCAGGGCCGGTCAAAAGAGAGCAAAAGCAAGATGCACCCTGGAGAAACAACAGTCTTTTCAGTTGGCAGGTAGGTGTTTGCTTTATATAAAAGAGTTTTGGATTAACTCACAATAAGTACAGTATGTAATGAAATACAAGCAGAGTAATAGTGTCAGGTTCTAAGGTTCTATGGCATTGATGTAGTAATTAAGGCTAGAATTTGGGAGACTGAGTTCTAGTCCCATCTTAGGCACAAAGTCAGCTGGGTGCCCTTGGACCAGTCACGCTTTTTGAGCCCTAGGAAGGAGACAATGGCAAACTAATTCTGAAATCTTGTCAGAAAATTAAAGGAACTCAATGAGTGGAAGCTCATTAAAGAGATATCCAATCTGGAGCTAAGGAGAAATTTCCTGACAGATAGGAAGTTAGGGGTTGTGGGTGCTCCATCACTGGAGACTTTCAAGAAAAAATTGGATAGCCATTTGTCTGGGATGGTATAAGTTCTCCTGCCTTGGGCAGGGGTTTGGACTAGAAGACCTCCAAGAACTCTTCCAGTCCTATGATTCTGTTCTGTTCTGTCCATTTCCATTCCATTCCATTCCATCCCATTCCATTCTATTCTATTCATCACCTGAAGGCATCAAAAAAGTCATAGCAGCAACATTTAAAATCATAGAACATTTCCAATTTATCCAAATGTACATGGGAATCCTTTGTCCATATGAAACCAGAAGTTTTTTTTTTTTTAAAAAAAAAGTTGTTCTACAATGAATCAGAAGCCTTAAACATGGATATGGAGTCTAGAAATCAATGCAACAACCTAAATAGAGCATTCTATAGCATTTATATGCATGTGAATATATCATTTTTACTGTTGAAAGATGCATCTAAGTGGTATCCGCCATGGCATCCCTCACAACATAGAGTTATAGAGTTATCTACTTTATTGTTTGCTTGTATGTTTTTATTGGTCACACTTACCACCTTTACAAAAAATCAACATCAAAAAAAATCAACATGACCAAAATATTCATTGTATTTATTATTTGAAATTAAGTACATTTATCAGTTGTAACAAGTAAACATAAATAAAAAATTGATGCATTTTTTCACGCTAAAACATCACCACATTAATAACCTGAATCTGAATATCAGTTCCCAAGAAATTTAAAATAATTTCTCTAAATTTTCTAATTATTACTGATAATATTAAAAATCTCCACAATTGGAACGATTCTTGGTGTTTTCTGACAAGTCAAGGATAAAGAATATCAATATTCTTTCACTCTTAGATATATTAATATAAAAACTGCAAATAAGGAAGACTATCAGAATTCAAATTACATTATAGCTGCTATTAATCTGAGAAGGGACATAATTCTTAATCTCAAAGAAAAAGTATATATAATACACATTTTACTTTTGATTTCATAGACATATTCAGATACTGGGCACTTCGATTTCTATGCTCTATGCCACTGTGAAAATAAACCTGGATCTTTGCAATCGTTTTATTAAAAATAATTTTGTTAAAGGCATTAAAAGTAAATGATAATATAAACTAAAAAGAAAAGAAAAAGGTGCAAGGGAAAAGAGAAAGGAAAAAATTCTAAGAAAGCAACTTCCCACCTGATCATGACAAGTATAAACAATTTCATCCCATAACTCATCTCTTAACAAAATAACAGAGTTGGAAAGGATCTTGGAGGTCTTCTAGTCCAACTCCCTACTCAATGTGTAGTCCTCAATAGAATTATATCCACATGGAGGGAAGTAAATAGTGGGATACCCTAAGATTCAGTTTTAGGCCCAGTACTCTTCAATATCTTCATAAACAATCCAGATGAGGGAATAGAATTTTCGGAGGACAGTAAGCTGGCAGGAATAGCCAATAGCCCAGAAGATAGGCTCAAAATCCAAACGGATCTCGACAGATTTGAACACTTGGCTCTATCTAATAAAATGAAATTCAGTGTAGATAAAAGTAAGGTTTTACACTTAAGCAAGAAAAACCAACTGTACAGGTGTCATGGTCAGCTCACTACACAAACATCAGCAACGAGAGGAGGGAGGGAAGGCATTGGAATGCAAGGGGAGTATTGGGGAGGGTAAAGCCTGAGACAGATCCAGCTCCCCCAGGTCACCGACTGGGAAAGTTTTAAGATGGAGAGACCATTCCCAAACCAACACAAGTGTAACTGATTGTTTAGACAATGGAGAGTGGGAGGACCAGGGGAAAGGGAAAAGTTTTCCTATGCTATTTGTGTGCGAAAATGTTAGAATTGGCTTTTCCACTTCTGTATCTACATGGAATTTTCAGTAAAGTTATACTCTTGGTAAAAGATGTCCCAGGAGTCTCCTCTGCTGTCTCAACCAATGGGACAGTTGACAAACAGATACAGACTAGGTCAAACTTGGCTCAATGCCAGTAATTGTGAGAGGGATCTTGGAGTCCTAGTGGACAATCACTTAAATATGAGCCAACAGTGTACTGCAGGAGCCAAAAAAGCCAATGCAATGCGTTAATAGAGGGATAGAATCAAGATCATGTGAATTATTAATATCACTTTACAAAGCCTTAGTACAGCTACACTTGGAATATTGCTCCCAATTTTGGTCATCACAATATAAAAAAGATGTTGAGACTCTGAAAAGAGTGCAGAGAAGAGCAACAAAGATGATTAGGGGCTGGAGATTAAAACATATGAAGAATGGTTGCAGGAATTAGGTTTGTCTAATCTAGTAAAAAGAAGGACTAGAGGAGATATGATAGCAGTATTCCAGTATTTAAGATGAGGGGGTCAACCTATTTCCCAAAGCACCAGAAGGCAAGACCAGAAACAATGGATGGAAACTAATCAAGGAGAGAAGCAACCTAGAGTTAAGGAGAAATTTCTTAACAGTGGGAACAATCAACCAGTGAAATGGTTTGCCTTCAGAAGTTGTGAGAGCCCCATCACTGGAGGCTTTTCAAGAAAAGACTGAACAGCCATTTGTCTGAAATGGTATAAGGTCTTCTGCCCAATTCCTGCAACCAATCTTCATATATTTTAGTCTCTAGGTCTTTAATCAACTTAGTTGCTTTTCTCTGTCTCAACATCTTTTTTGTAGTGTGGTGACCAAAACTGGATGCAGTATGCATTATGGGTATGGCTAGTCTAGAGAAAAGAAGGACTAGGGGTTACGTGATAGCAGTATTCCAGTATTTGAGGGGCTGCCACAAAAATGAGGGGGTCAACATATTTTCCAAAGTACCAGAAGGCAAGACAAGAAACAGTAGATGGAAACTCAAAGAGAGAAGCAACCTGGAATTGAAACTTCCTAACAGTGAGGACAATTAACCAGTGGAACAGCTTGCCTTAGAACAGGGATCCTCAAACTGCGGCCCACCCTGACTTTTTATCCAGCCAACCTCAACCACCTCGGCAAGCTATCCAATCGCAAGGAGAGGGTGGGTGGATGGCGGCAAGAGCCCCAGCCAATGGCAGGACGGTGAGTTGGTGGGAGGAGATTTTTTTCTCCAGTTTCTCCCTTGCGTGCCAAGTGCGCGCTTGTGCTTTGGCCACACCCCTTCCTCTCCTCTCACTTCTTCACGTTTTTACCTCAGGGCTGAGCTGAGAGGTTTAGGCCTCACTTGCAGCCTCGGCCTCACTTAGGGCAGCCAAGCCTGGCAATGACAATGCCACTGCTACTGCTGTTGCTTCTTCTGAGGTGGGTCCCTCACTAGGCACTACAGAACGCGAGCCCCAGCCTCTGCCGCTGCCATGCTGGCCATGAAGAAACTGGTGCCACTGGCCCTCACCATTGCCAAGAGACCCAGCCCCACCAGCGGCAGCGAAGGCGACGGCTCTGAGTGAGTAGGCTTGACCCCTGTGAGGGTTGGAGTGGGGTGCCAGTTATGGGTCTGAGGGGAGCGGGCGAAGGGCAAGGTATTTGTGAGGGGTGGCTGCGGTGAGCAAGAAAAAAGGAGGAGAATTTGCTCTTGGAAGGTTATTTCGGGGTTGCGAGGGGTTGTGTGGAGCTGAGGCAATGAAAGTACGGAATGCCAATCAAGGAGAATATTTCTGGCTCAGAGTTAACATGAAGGGTTCTTGGAGGGATCTCTGAGGATGGTGGTTTTCTTGCAGACGTTTCAGGACCCAAAATGGGATAATAAGTGAACTAATAATATTACCTAGTTTGGGTCATGAGACATCTGCAAGAAAGTCACCAAGCTCAGAGAGCACCAAGGACTCCACAACCGCCCTTCTTCTCCTCCTTCATTCCACAAACCCCCTCTCTTCTGGCATTGCTGATGTTACCTAATTTGGGTCATGAGATCTGCAAGAAATGCTGAATGAAACTGGCCTTGCCTTTCTGACAGAAGTAACAGCTACTCAACAGTTTCATTGTACAACTTCAAGGAAAGGGGAAGCTCATCTGTGATATGTATTCATATGTGAACTCATTTGAAGTAAAATTGGACATACTCATTAAACAAGTGAGGGAGGAAAACTTCTGCCCACATCTTCCCACAACTCAAAAACTATTTGCGGAAAAACCAGAAGTTGCATTCCCAAACAAAACATGTGTGGATTCACTGGAAATGTATATTTTCTTCACTTAAAAACTCGTTCAAATAATTAACCAATTCATTTTTCTTGTTTCATTTTTTCATTTGATTTTACACTGATTTGATTTTACACCCCCCCCCAACAGTTTGAGGGACAGTGAACTGGCCCTCTGTTTAAAAAGTATGAGGACCCCTGCTTTAGAAGCTGGGAGTGCTTCATCACTGGAGATTTTTAAGAAAACACTGGACAGCCACTTGTCTGAAATTGTATAGGATCTCCTGCTTGAGCAGGACCCTTCCAGCTCTATTCTGATTGAGGCACCATAGGGAAGAGTTCTAAATTATCCCTAGGCCAAATGAAAGCCTGTAATAACTGGCAACCACAAAACTGTTCGGCTCAGAGAAAATGAAGCATTGTCATAAAGACAGAGAAGAACAGGAACTGACCTGAGAACTTAAGCATTTCTAAGCTTCCTGAGTATGGGAAAATGAAAGGCAATTTAAAATAACTTTTAAATTGACATTTCATTCAAAAT